TCACTAATTTGAAAATTTAGCTGTGTATTAGTGTGCGGTTGCGATTTTTGAGTTGAGTGATTGTATTGTAAAGCTGTCTTTTCACTTCTACAGAACATAAGCGCAAACTTTGAAATGATGTGAAGTTATCTGAATTCTTCATGTGAATGATATAACTGCACTCCCTGAGAACCTACGTAGAGATTATTTTTGAATTTGTATCTGTATAGATCGTTTCTACTGAATTAGACTCTGAGTTTGCTGTCCTGTGGTTTAATCTTTATTAGTTGGTAAATTTGTTCTATGGTAACTTGTCTGTTAATGATTGAGTCATCTGAGTACTAGGTGAACATAGACAGAACGGAGGTTATGAAAATAACCAAACAACAACAGCAGCAGCAACATACAGCGCCAATCACCATCAATGCGAAAAATTTGAAAGAGGTTACTTCATTCACTTATCTAGAGAGCATTGTCTCAACTACAGGCAGTCGGAACGGACGAGGATGTCAAATCGAGAATCGGGAAGGCGAGAAACACATTCATCAACCTTCTTGAGTTGCCATGCTGACACTGTTTATTAGATTTTTTCTGTTTTTTGTCTTCTCTCACCCCCCTTTTTTTCTTTCTTTTTCATAGTCTGACAGTATATAAATTGATGGTAACTTAAACTATAAATTATAATACTTATATTCCAGATGCGTTCACCTTATAATGTTTTCTCTATTATCTTTCAAACAATGAAGTACGAAATGTTATTATTTATAACCATTGTAATTTCAGGTAGTTTGCAGCTGATGAGGACGTGTGAAATGGAATGATATCATTTTATACAGCAAATCTGGTCTTTCTTTCTCTATCGAAATCTTTATCACTCAGCATCAACAACAAAATTCGATCGGATTTTCAATACAAACGTCAAGTCAGTCAGTTCTTCTATACGGCTCAGAAACTTGACGGGCGGGTCACAAAGAATATTTCCAACAGCCTGTTGCAGACCTTGATCAACCAACAACTGTCAACTATCGCTCTATACTGAAGATTAGATGGCCGGGCCGGAAGGATTCACTAACAAGAAACTATGGGAACAAACAAAAGAAGAACCAACTGCCCAACAAATATGCGGGAGAAAGTGGAGATAGATTGGACACTCGCTGAGGAGGCCACTGGGTGACATCGCGCGCGCGTCAGGCCATTGCTCGAGTGGAACCCGAGAGGGAAGTGGCGATTGGGACGTCAGTGCAAGGGTGACATGGAGGAGATGGTATGAAGAGGAGTTGAAAGAGTATGGACTAACATGGATGCAGGTGAAAAGTACAGCAGAAGCATGACAGCAGCAAGTGAAGACTTGCAGTTGAAGCCCTATATTCCACTAGGAACTTAAGGGAATAATAATAGGCAGTGAAGAATATATGTCACGTTGTTGTCGATGGTGTTTATCTTGTCTCATTTTGCAGTTAATTCAGAAACATTCCTTGTTTTAGGTAGGATCAATTTTTTTCATTTGGTTCCTGAGGAATCTATCTCCTTTGTAATTTGATTCGAGTTTAGACAATATTTAATGAAACTGTAGGAATATCCACTTTCGTTGAGGACAGTCAACAACCATTCTTATTGCATTCTCTTCAAGACTGAAGTGATAAGTTGTTTTCACGCTTTTTTTTACTAATGTTTATTCACAGTTTCTGTTGGGAAACAATTGTTTACTGGTGTTCTGTTTAAGCATTTACTTTGTGCAGGTTGATTTCCTGTATACTACAGTTTCCAGATTTCCTGTGTTTCTTCACTTGGTTAAAACATCTAAACGAACAATATTGTTTTAAATTAGATCTTCTTCAGGCTTTACTCTAATTTACATAGACTTATATATATATATATGTAGTAGTGCCTTCAGAGTTATCTGTCACATTCCATCTAACCTTTCGACGAGAATTTAAACCCGATGTTTACACATAGTCGAAACTATGGGAATTAATTCGAGAGGACAGTCCTAGTCTTTGCATACAAAAAAAGCTTGTCCTACCCTTGTCTCTCCCTTGCTTGCCTAGGTAAATTTTAATCAAAACCCTCCTCCCTCTAGCCTTTCTTCTTTTCCATTTCCTTCGTGTTTTAATAATATTTATTTAAACTTTGATTATCTGTCCACTTCACCTTTAGTATTACGTAACTTCTAGGATTTTAGCCAATTAATTTATTGAATTGTCTACATATACACATATTATTATCTTTGTTATTCTTATCGCCACCTGCATAAACCTTATTATCAATATTTTGTTATCATTATAACCACCGTTATTAACTAAGTTCAAAACATTTAGCGCATTATTATTATTATTCGATCCACAAACTCACCGTCATTGGTTAAAATTTTTATTTATAAATCTATGTAAATTAGAGTAGAACCTGATGAAGATCTAATTGAAAACAGTATTGCTTGCTTATATGTCTTGCTTTGATATTAATAACGAAAATATTTAAAGATTTGAGGCATGTAAGTAAGGAATTTCGCTATCTTATTCTTCTCTGCTGAGCTCGGGGTATAGTTTAGATGTTCACAATAACTACACTTATTAATAAATGAAGTGAACTTCAATACTGATTTTTTATGTCAGTCTGCGTCGGTGGCACAGCGGTTAGGATGCTTGCCAACCATGCAAATGATCCGTGGTTCGAACCCCGGCCAAAGCACTCCTTTACCTCGCTTAGCCAGAAATAAAGAGCTGGCAAAGAAGAAAGGCTGGGTGTGAAGCTAGCAAACCCATCCTGTAAAATTAAACACTGCTATAGAAGCTTCAAGCCACTAGCTTGAGGCCCTATGTATCACGGGGAACGTGAAAGAAAACAAATGCTCATTTTGATCCTATGTATTTTATTCAATATTATAAGTCTATTTAAGAGAGTCGAAACAGATGCAACAGCAGTCACGCATACTTATTTATGTATACGCCCGAAATCAATAGATTATTTTTCTGGAAAAAAATGAAACGTTGGGTTCCTGTGGATGAAATTAATCATTTACGAACTACGCAGGTCACTACAAAAAGACTCTGATATTTATCTTATCAAGTATATCACATATCATGTGACAGAAGTATTTTCAATCATCGTGGAGAATCTTCAACTTGAACTGTTTTTAACTCGCAAATGATGCATGTGAATTTATCATGACCTCCTTCAGAAGCCATTTGTTGACATAAATAAATAATAATGGAAAAAGCAAAATAAATTGAAACAAGGTAGTACATACTACTGACTGATATGAGTAGTTGAATAGCTGCCATGTTAAAAAACACTGCTTGGTACAGTCGGTTGGCAGTTTAGCACCTAAGCATATTCGTCATTCCTTTTGCGTTCCGAGTAGAACATAGAGCTTCAAGCTTGAGCTTTGAAGAATCAGTGAACATGATGTTTATTTTTCATTCGTGAATGTTCATACAATTCTACTTTACTATGTCCTGTTAATTAAGAAGACTAAAACTTTTCCTAATATTATATAATTTTATGTAAACCAGTTGGGAAAGCTCGGTCGTCTCAGATCCAGCCCTCTGATTTGAATGAATATACTTTTCTCTTCTAACTAGCTACAGAATTCTCGTCGGTTTCATTCACATATATATATATGTAATAATAGTAATAATTACGGTGAAATGCTCGACAGGTTGGTATCTTAGTAAACAAGGATAGAGTAGAGAAACAGTGCAGAGACTGTTTTGAAGCAGAATTATAAATATCTTTGTATTTGTCAAAGTCAGCCTCTTATGTGCAAAATATACATCATAGTTGCAGCTTACGTCACTAATGTCTTATAAATAAAGAAAGGGACGAATTCGTTTAGATGTGTCCATATATTGCTCTCTATGTACAGAGGCGTATCACTCATCTTAATACACCAGTGTGAGTTAAGCTTCTGTTCATGCACTTGTCTTGCCTTTGGCTTTTTTCGCCTTGAAGATAGGTTATCTATACCAATTTCAGTGGACACTCATATTTTATCTTTCTAGCAATTTTATTTTTTTTATTTCCAAAGCTTGAATTTATAAAAATTTAGGAATTCACTTATACAACCATATCAAAGGTGGAAAGCTTAAATCATAGGGCTAAGTAAACTTCCTACCCAGTATAATGCAGACAGTATTCTCCAGTTTTTATTGTTTTAATCACCTCATTATTATTTTGCATCCCTACAAGGTTTAGTGCACATTTTTAATTTGCATTCAATGTAATGTAGAGTATCTCTCGAAAGAAATGAGAGAAAACATCGGGGAGGATGGGATATTGTTTCAGATAGAATGACACTTTAACACACAATGTGCTCCAGAATACTTTTTTACATAAAGATCCTATACGAAGTGTAGATATTTAGCCACTGAAATATGCTGAAAATACTGTAGTGTATGTTAGTACATTGTTCTGAATGAAACTGTGATTACTATTAGTATATTATTTCTAGTTGTTGGAAGCTATTCATCAAAAGTTATACTAGCTAGCAAGCAAAATCTAGATTGGTTGACCCAAATAAGATAAGAAATCTAGAAAATGGTTCAGCTATAGCAATACATGCAGTCACAGACAACCACACAATAGGATGGGATAGGATGACAGTTTTCAAATCTAATGTCACAGGGTGGAAGGAGAGATTGACAACAGAAGCTTTGTTTATCGAATCAACTGACAGGGAATATGTGTAATACGAATGATTCAACACCTGTCCACCCAGATATCTGGAAAATTCTACTACCCATACGACAAATAGGAGAAGACAAAGAAAACTATAAAACTCAAGTTTCAAAGTCGTTTGATTACAATTGATATGATTATGAACAATAAATTTTGTTCGAAACGTCATCCAGTAAATAATACTGTTTCACTGTGTGATACATCGAATAAACAAACTAATATGGAATTACTTACTACCACAGTGCCCAAATTTTACACCTATATTAAAAAGTTATACTTATTAATTTATTAACACTAGTAATGATAAAAACAGTTTATAAATAAGTTAAAAACGGAATGTTTACCAGTTGAATACATGCGCTTTTCTACTTCCTCGATAAGTGATCACACCTTCATGATTTAAGCCCATATAGAAGTGATTGCCTTTACGATCCTTTTATGGAAATTAAAAGAAGAAGAAGAAAAGAGAATGAGGGAAAATGTTTGCTTAAGCATATTCTTTTTAATGGCAACGATGAAAAACTTCAAATACATATATGTGTGTGTATGATGTATACTTCTAAGAATAAAGAATATTCTCCTTGATGGCTTCTTATGTTCTACAATAATATGCATCCAGAGTGAAGTTTCTTAAATAACATCGAATGAAGAGGATCAGTGGATTACAGTTCTAAAGCATCTATACGTGACAATATGCATAAAAGTGTAATATTAAACTCAATATTGAAAATAAAATTCTTTAAAAAAAATAATAAGAGATTTGTAAATTCGCAAGTCCAGTAGCGACCTAGGGTAGCGATAGTAGCTGGACGTGTTCTTTCAGCACATAAAGCTTCAGTTATTTGGTTGTGAATTTTAATGGCCTCTGATGTTTGAATTAATCGGGGCTTGATAGATGATAGGAAAAGATTCTTCAATACTTTGGCTGTATGAGTTGTTTGGAAGAAAAATGGTCTAATATCGAACTGTTAATGGGTTTCATTACCCCTTTTATTTGGCTGGTTACACTAGTAAGTGTTCCTATAAACGAATATGCCAGAATGTGAATATCTAGAGTTGACTGTCTTACGAAACATCACCCTATCATCTGTCATTTATGCATTACTACTACTCAAACAGTTTCTGAAGTTGAAATTCGCCTAACTGGCCAGATCTTTCAAATTCCATGTTTCTAAAATGATGTATACGGACGAAACTTTCCTCAAACTTTAATCTGCACTACCTTTTCACAAAACACAACAGTATAATCTGTGTAGCTAACAGATCTACTTAGTTTTTAATTATTATTACTATTATATTATGAATAATATCATAGTGATTAGTTTATGAAGTAACCCTAGCAAGCATTACTATCTGATTTGAGTAGTATGCACCTAATCATATTAGTCACTCAGTAGTATTAAGTGTCATAGCCTCAGGATATTTCACTTGTATTCATCTCTAACCAGCTTTTCCTGAAAACATCACAGGATTCAGAATACAGATAAGTCAATCTATACTATAGAATGGTCATTCAAAAGGTCATAAATTATCCGCTGGCCTGTTTAAATCACTGGGCCACTTAAATTTCCCATCCACCTAGATGCATAGTATTCACTTTATTTCATAATGTTTTAGGTAAAAAATTATATCTAAGAGTTGTATTGTATGCTCAGGCAAATTTTCTAATATGTTTGAACCTACTGCAAAGCAAATTTAGACGGAGATTGACGAGAAACACAATGTAATATTTGAGTATGCTTCAGATAAAGCAGTATCGCTTCAGCTGATTTATTATCGTTTATTATATATTCCATGAAGACTCTGCGAAATGAGTAGACACCTTGCAATAAGAAACTTGATGAAAATTCTGTGCTGCGTACTAACCCATTTTCCAGACTAAAGCTATCATCACTGTATTAACATACGTATTCTGAATAACAATGAAAACAATCGCTGAAGAGTCCCAAACAAGGAGACGAAACAGCTTTCCGGTACTTTCTAGTTTTCCATAGCTTGTAATCAAACTTCATTCTAACCATTTTATGTTTTAACAGTTATCATACAAAATTTAATATCATCTGTTAAAGTGAATATTTATTTGCCACTCCTATCATATATTTGTAGTGAGAGCAGGCTGCTAGCCAATTGGTAGACATTAATTTACGTCACTGTCTAGGTCACTAATATTGGCCGTGAGAAAATATGAACAAGTCTGATTCAACAACCATTCACAGCAGACTTAACGTGGGCAAATACGATTCGCAGATATATGGCTTAACTTTCTGAGTAACCAGTCACAAGCGGTATAGAATAACCTTGAGCAAGAAACAACCAATCAGAAGACTGTGTTTGTCTGCTTGAATAAGCCATAATAATGTACATGAAATATCTATAAATACGTGTTGATTCCCGTAATAAAACGATCTGTTGCCTGGCCCTTTTCTTCTGTTGTTACATATTTACTTTATTTCTATTAGTTACTGATTGATTTTGACTGAAAAGATTGAACAAACGCTTTATGACTGCTATCATAAATATCCTATTTAGTGCAAAACTATCTGTTAGTTATGAACTTAAAAAAAACATTTATATAAACAGTGAAGAGTGGATAGCCTTTCTTTTTGGCAGAAGGCAAAGGTTAGTGGGATTAATCCATACACACTGTATATAATTCCATATTAATCTGTTCGCTGGACATATCCTCACACATTGGTGAAACAGTATTGTTTACTAAATGACATCGTTTCGAACACAATCTATATTGTTCATAATCATTCTACAGTTGTAACTACACAAATTCAAAGCTTGATTGTTATAGTCGTTTTTCTTCCTCACTAATTATTGTATTAGAAAAAATATTTTTCAGTTGAGTTTCAAGTAAAAAATAGGGCTTAAACAGCAAATTCCCAATTTGTCCTGTTCTCTGAAAAGCTCTTCAAATGGATTCATGATTATCCGTCAGATTTGATCTCTTCCTTGTCACCCAAAGACCTACATACATTTTGTCATTTCCAACTCGGGTTCCACTCGAGCGATCGCCTTGAACGCGATGTCATCAGACGGCCTCCTCAGTGAGAGTCCGATCCATCTCCATTTTCTTTCGAATATTTGTTGAACCAGCAATAGGTTCTTGGTTGGTTTGCTGCCAGGGTATCTTGCTGTTAATTCTTTCTGGCTCGCCAGCCAATTTATCTTCAGTATAGAAGCAGCGAAGGCAGTTGGTGATAAAAGTATGTAATCTTTTGGAAATGACTTTCGTGACGCACAGTGCAAGTTTCTGACCCATATAGAAGAAATGACGGAATTGACATCGGTGTTGAAAATCCAAGCCTTATTCTTTGTACTAAGTGCAGAAGATCTCCAGATTGATTTCAGATTGATTAATGCCCATCTCACCTTTCCGATTCGGGCTTTAACACTTTAATCAGTTCCGCTAGTGATCGAAACGACGCTTCTTAAGTGGGTGTAGGAAGTCAACTCTTTCAAATTTCTCCCGTTGGTAGTGATTGGTGCTGTTTGTTCTCTGTGTTGGATGGTTATCTTCATCACCTCTGTCTTCTCTATGCTCACTTGAAGTTCTGTCTTCTCTGCTCATCCTAACAGTTTGTCAGTTTTCCTTCCCGTTTGTGTGATATTACACATAAATCATCCGCGAAATCCAGATCTTCTAGAGTCTTCTCTTCGGTCGAGCGTATTCTTGTTTTCTCACTCCCCTATGTCTGACGCATAATCCAATCCACCACGATTAGGATTACCATTGTAAAAAAACAGGCAGCCTTATCGTACTTCTGTATTCACTCCAAAGGCTTTGCTGAGTTTTCCGTTTCTAATCTCCTGACACTTGGCATTGTCATACAGCTGTTGAGTTAGATTGATTAAAGTTTGAGGCACTCCACAGTATTGAAGTTGTTTCGAAATTGCTTCTCGGTCGACGCTATCTGTCGAAGGTCTTTCGAAGTTGATGAAGGAATTTTAGGTAGAGTTTCGACTGCCATTCAATACTTTGTTCGATGATGTCACTTGGAGTCACAGTTTGATCAGCTAATGATTTGTCTTTCCTGAACCCAGATTGTTCTGAATGGCGTCCTGTGCATCTTTTATTCTCTCCAAGATAATGCGACTGAGTATTTTACTTGGCGTGGATAAGATAATGATTCCTCGCCAGTTCCTGCACAGGCCCAAGTCGACTTTCTTTGGTAATTTGACAAAGTAGCCTTTTATCCAATCACCGGATACCTTTCCTTCCTTGTGAACTTTCTGCATAAGCGTCGTTGCGGCTGATGTCCAGGTTGCCAAGTTTCAAATTATTCCAAATGCACGTATTTTCATTTGATTTGATAAGTAGAGCCTCAGTTGACATTCTCTCCCTCCACTCTTTTACATTAGATTTTATTACTGTCACACCATCCCGTACTATTGTATATTTATATATAACTACTTATAGTGCTATAGCTGAGCTGTTTTTATATTTACTATCTCAATAGTGCAAACTATTCTGGGTTTCGCTAAAATTTGAGCTCCGCTAATATAAATGTTCCCGGCCTACTACTTTAAATTATCTCTCTGACTCCACAGTCACGGCACTGTATTAAGTAAAAGAAGTTATTTGCTCAACGGGCTCTGCAGTATCCAATAAGCTGCATAATTTGAATGAAACTTTTATTTCCGTTTTGTCAGTAATTCTACTAAGGTTTCAGTAGTGCATTCTTTGCATGGAAGCACAACATGTTGACGTTCTGATGTTTCTGTGTGCATTTGTCATGTATGTCCTCATTATTAATAATGTAATTTTTTCACTTTCCTATGGGCTTCTCAAACCTCTACCTCAACTTTATAGACTTTGAGAAGGCCGTCGACAGCGGTGACCGTGAAGTAATTTGGAAACTAGTCAAGTACCACGGCGTACCCCAAATATTCATCAACCTTATTCAACAGCTGTACGACAACACCACATGTCAAGTGATCCACAACGGAAAACTCAGCGAGGCGTTTGGAGTAAACACAGGAGTCAGACAAGGGTGCTTATTGTCTATCACCAGTGATATTCCTAATTGTTGTAGACTGGATTATGCGTCAGACGGTGGGAAACGAGCAGACAGGGATATCCTGGACAGACGTGAAGAACCTAGAAGACCTGGATTTCGCGCGTGGATGATTTATGTTTGATGTCACACAAAATCGATGACTTACAGGCGAAAACCGACAAACTGGTCGAAGAAGCAGCCGGAGAAGACACGACTCCTGGTGAACATAGACAAGACGGAGGTTATGAAAATAACCAACCAACAACAACAGCAACATCCAGCGCCAATCACCATCAATTCGAAAAATTTGAAAGATGTTACTTCATTCACTTATCTAGGGAGCATTGTCTCAACTACAGGCAGTCGGAACGGACGAGGATGTCAAATCGAGAATCGGGAAGGCGAGAAACACATTCACCAAACTGAA